TTAGTTTCCACTCATTGCTTCTTGTTCTACACTCAGGTGCCCTGGAGAATAGTTTGACTCTTCCTTCTTTGTGGCAACTCCTGAGATATTGGAACACTGCTATCATGTCTCCCCTAGTCCTTCTTTCTATTAAATTAGACATACCCAGTTCCTGCAGCCATTTTCATATGTTTTACCCTCCAGCCCCCTAATCATCTTTGTTGCTCTTCTCTACACTCTTTCTAGAGTCTCCGCATCTTTTCGACATCGTGGTGACCAAAACTGAATGCAGAATTCCAAGTGTGGCCTTAGCAAGGCATTATGAAGTGGTATCAGGTTTTCCCCCCTCAGTAAATCTGACTAAAAGATAATTTACACACAAACACAGGTAGTCCTTGACTATATTACTGGTTGCCAGCAACTATTCAAACTTTTACAACTGACTTCAAAAAAGTTATTTACAATCCAACCTGTTTATGCAGCCTAGAACTGTGTTGGCTTGAGGAAAGCCTCCAGAGCCCAAGGACACACACACACACACACACACACACACACCTGCCATAGTGCAGGAGGCCAACTAGGCCACGCACAGCATGGCCACGGCCACCCAGCAACCGGTCAGAGAACCCCTTGCTAAAAATTTGTAAGCCCACCCCTGCCTACATGTACCTATATGACTCTGTGTATAATTGCAGAATCCCACTAAGCAGAGGCATCCCTGAGACAGGGTCAGAAACAGTCAAGATATCACTGACAGTTGCACAGTCATAATCTTATTGGTGCCATCCTTCCAACTTCCTCCTCCTTTGCTCTATTGTAGCAACAGTTGCTGCTGTCAGCTTCAACAAAAGCCTTCCTTCTTCAAAGTCGAGTGACCCCCCAGGTCTTCCGTGCACTGCGGACACTCAACGCTCTGGAGTTTGCAGAAATAAAATATGTATACATATACGGTGTGTGCGTGTGTGTGTATTTATTTATTTCTAGAAACTGAAAGCCGCCACAACTGCAAATGGTACGGTGGATATCAAGCTACGCTAAAAAAACTGCCTTGTCATTTTCACCCAATTTTCTTCTTGAGCAGAAGTGGCTTCTGTGTTTCTAATGTAATTCTCAGGGCCCTTGAGTATTTATTTGGATTTTCCTCTTGGCCGTGCTCTTTTCAGAAACGCTGGAAGTCGCTGGAGGGTGAGACTCTGCTCATTCTGTTTTTCTAGTCTGCCTCTTTCCTGAAGCCATGCTGAATGCCCATGCTTCCCATTCCCCAAAAATGAAGTCCCCCCCACCCAACAACAGAGGGCATTCTTTCATGAAATCTTTTCCTGTGATTTGACGGCAGCCCAACAACACACACACACACACACCGCCTTTTTGCAGGCTGCTTAGAGAGGCGAAGATACAGGGAAAGACAATACACTGTAAGGAGATAAGCACAAGGACATTGCGCTCCTCCGTCAAGAGAATTCCATCCAAAAATCTCTTCTCCAAAAGTGTGGGGGGGGGGAACGACAACACCCCAGTCTCTCTCATCTGACTTGATTGCTAGAATCAAGTGCTAGAAAGGAAAACTAGAAAAGGTTACGGATCTCTCTCTTTTTCCTGCAGCACAACCCTAAAATGGGAAGGCTGCAAGCCGAAGAGAAAATGGCTTGCGACTCAGACGTGTGAAAGGAGGAGAAAGTGAGGTTGTTTCTATATGAGTAAGACAGTTTCACAGCTGTGATTTTTGCCGTAATGAATAGCCCGCCACGGATGCCACCTCCAGAATAACGAATGTGGCGGCAAACACACAAGGTTGAATGTCCACCTTTTACAAGAAGGATAACTGAAGCTGGATTTTTTTTGTTTTTAATCTTGCTTTCATTGGGCTAATTTTTTTTTTTAAAGATATTGGATGCAGCAGAAGCATCCCCAGCAACAGTGAGATCTGTTAGGAGTAGTGGGGAGGGGGGAACAACCAACGGACCATTGATATGCAAGTAGCAATGCAGCTACAAGCTGGCAAGCTATTTTTAGCGTCAGATATAGCTTAAAATAGCAACAGAGCAGTTCAGTTCCTTTTCCATCACGCTCCCTAAAGTCTACAGATTAAAAGGAAAAATAAGAAAAGAGAGTGGGGGGGGGGGGACGCCCTGCAATGATCATAGATGGTGCTCAGAAGAATAAAAAAACAGAATAAAGGTTAGGACAGTGTTAGAGTGCCTTTGTGAGAAATGGTACAGTTTGCTTTTTGGTAAGGAAGGGAGGGGGTTGTGTGTGTGTGTGTAGACACAATGAGCCACCCACAAATGGACATCTGGGGATTTGGGGAGGGGGCTGCATTTGATGATGAGCCTTACTAGTTGACACTCCCCCCCCCGCCCCATTTCATTAGCTGATGTAATGATTAAAATGAAGCTGGGTTGGAGGGTGTGATCTGGGATTTTAGATATTACAGTGCAGCAGAAACACACCTTCTCTTGCTTGGAATTGCAATGCCCCCTTCTAGAATCAAGAACACCTGTTTATTCCTGACCCATAGAATAGCCCAGATCTGTCTCAGACAGGCAGTGATCAAAGCCAGTTTGGGTTGAGTGGTTAAGCTATGAGGCAAGAAAGTAAGAGACTGTGAGTTCTAGTCCTGCCTTAGGCATGAAAGCCGGCTGGGTGACTTTGGGCCAATCACCAAGAGATTGTGAGTTCTAGTCCCGCCTTAGACATGAAAGCCAGCTGGGTGACTTTNAAAAGAAACTTCAGGTTTCCATTCTATTTTAACCCCTTTAAAAGAAGTAATATTCTGCCTCTTTTAATATTCTCCAAAATATTTCATTCTGGGTGAGGGGAGGCTTCCTACCATTGTAGCTAGGGGTGTGCAAAATGAAGTATGGGAATGCCTCCCAAATTTTAGCCAAGGAAATCAACTAAGTTTGGATAAATCCTAATAAGAATGTTCCTTAACATCCCAAGCTAAACTTTTTGCGTGGTTGAATATGGTTTCTTGGGCTAGTGGTATAGGTTTGTGCAACATACTGTATCACAAAGTATCTTGACGGCGGCAAGGATCGCATATGCCTTCACTGGAACAAAAAAAAAAGGATGTGTGTATGTGTTGTATGTGTGTGTATGTGTTGCATTTTTGCTGATAAATAAATGAAGGAATACTAGTATAGATCTATTTCAAGCTATTTAGCTCTCATCAGCTAGTCATACCCTCACTGGGATTCGAACCTGGGCTGATTTTTAGATATTAGGCAGTTATATTAACCTCTAAGCCACAAGCTCTCCTCCCTTATCAACTGAGCCAAGGAAATGATTAAGTGTTATGTCAAAGCACTTGGTATTCCCAAATATGGGAGGGAGCATACTGCTTCCCTTTCCCGGTATGCTCCCTCTCATATTTGGGCATACCAGATGCTTTGACATAACATTTAGTGTGTGTGTGTGTAGCCTTCATTCTACACTTCACCATATTCACGCCGGTTCATCTATTTTCTTTCCTGAAGATAAATGTTTTGGAGAAACTGCTCTGATGAACTGAAGTAGAGAATGGCTAACACTAGAGGGCAGATTCATTCCACTTTAAACAAGATATTCCCCCTGCATTCATAAAAAGAGCATATATTAAACAGTAACATATTCAAAGAAAGACCTCGGAAAAGAATGGATTCCAGTATCTGGGGGGTTGGGTGGGGGCAGAAAGAGAAATAAAAGGAAACAGGAGACACTTTAGCCAGAATATTGGCTAGCTGTGGTTAAGTTAAGCCAAGTTTCTGAGTCACTTGCTGGTAATTACACTGATCATTTATGCAGTTTGTGTGATATGAGATGGAAGTGTAGGAAGCTCCCTTCCCCCCCCCAGAGAATGAAATATTTGGGGGAATATTAAAGAAAGGCAGAATATTATATTTTCCCCAAAGGAGAAATGAAGAAACATGTTCTTTAAGGCAGAAAGCAGGCCCAGCCTTCCTACATAGTAAAACAGCCTCAAGTAGAAATGACTGGTCTTTAGGAATGAATATTTTGTATCCATTCAGAAAGGCTGGGCCAGTTTATTCATAAACAAAACCGCCAGGCTGGGATTAGGAGTTTACGCCCCACCCAAATTCTAAGGACAGGACATGACCTTTAGGACATAATAGGATCAACCCACCACCATTAGAAAAGCAAAAGACACAAGGCTCACTACATTGGCTCAGTGGTTAGGGTGCAGTACTGCAGCCACTTCAGCTGACTGCTAACTGCAGTTCAGCGGTTCAAATCTCACCGGCTCAAGGTTGACTCAGCCTTCNAGTGTTGGGGCATTCACAACTTCTGGAGGCAAGCTCTTCCACTGATTAATTGTTCTAACTGTCAGGAAATTTCTCCTCAGTTCTAAGTTGCTTCTAACCATTTTGCAGTTATGAGGCTGATTCTGATCTAGCCACTTAATCCAAGCCTTGTACTGCTAACTTTTCCAATGGCATTCCTCCTTGCAGGCTTGGCATATTTTTAGGCTAGAAGCTACCAAACCTTGCTAATTTGAATTAACTTTAATAATACTAATGATGACAGCGCATAACTAATATGCATTTTATAGGTCAGAAAAACTTTTTTGGAATATGATTGTTGCTAGGTGACTTTGGATCTGTTGTTCTCTCAGTGTAATACTTCATGGGGTGTTGTAAAACAAATTGGCAAAAAGACTGATTTATGTCCCGCCATGAGCTGCTGAAAAAGAGATAGAAATATATCTACTAATGGTAATAACAAAGCAAAAAGTAATCCTTCAGCTAAATTTATAAAAGTATTGTATTTTTTATAAACAGTTTTCTCCTTCTCTTTAATAGACAGGAGGTAGCAAAGGTTATGCTTTTGTGGAATTTGAGTATGATGAAATTGCAAAGATAGCTGCAGATACCATGAACAATTACCTTGTCCGTGAAAAGCTCTTGAAATGTGAGTATATCCCTGTTTGTTAAATGTAGCAGTTCCATGAAAGAGTCAGATGTTGAAAAAATACCCCACTAAACCTCCCCTTTTTTCCTTTACAAGTTCTCATTCTCTCATCTCCTTTTTTCCTAATCTGTGTGACCTTCAGAAATTGCAACTGCTCTTTTTTTTGTAAGGATTGTTATTCCCGGGTATATTTTACCTGCATAGTCCATATGATGGGGATGCACCTGTAAAGGACCCCCTCCTATCACAATGTGAAGGGAGGGGATGTAACAGAAAGTGTTTCCATGGGGATTCCTTTCTTTTCGAACAGTCTGCTCTAAAATGAGGGTAGCTGTCACTTTCATAATATTTTGAAGAGAAGGTACAACTTGACTATATTTGAAAGGCCTTTGAGAATTGATTTGTGGCTACAAGCACCTTTATTACCTATATTAAATATTAATTGTGTTGTATATTTTAGAGCTATCCATTGCTTAGTCCTTTGGAATTGATGCCATAAATAAATAAATAACACAGTACAATTAAATGTTTTGCAATGAGATTAGGCATGGCTGTAGCTTTATTCTCCATTACATTGTCTGCTTTGAAATATAATCCATATCCCCAATATAGATTTTCCTTTTTTTACAGCTTACCCAACAAACAGTGATATATCAATATAGATACATTATATGTCTTGATAGTTAGTTTTGAAAAAAGAATAAAATACTCTTCTTTCTCTCCCAAAGTAACGGGGAAATGGTTGTACTCCATACAGCATTTAAATCAAGTTGATCTTGCAGAAGTGTTTTATTGTTTTATCTGCTTGTACAGGTGCTTGGGAACAATATCAAATGAGTATTTCTTTATGGAAGTATTACATCCTCTCAATCTAGCCTGGCTGCAGGGGTTTACAAGGACAATAATAATACACTATGACAATATAGAAAAATAAAATGCACTGTAATAATATAGTATGAAAGTAATCATATTTATTTAGTCAATTTGTATGGCAAGGGTTTTGGGGAGGAAATAATATTAAAATAAACAATAGTTGCGACCAAAACTTGAAATATATAGCATATGTGCAGAAGAGAAACATGATGCCTGCCTCAAGGGGAAGCAGTCATCCTACATATCTCTTTGTTTAGCTGAAGCCATAATGCATTGATATTCTGTGTTTAATGCCGTGTTTCCCCGAAAAGAAGATCTGGTGTTATTTTCTTTTGACCCTTGAAAAAAGCTAGGGCAGCCCCACCCAGCAGGAGCCAACTGCTGCCCATTTCTACAGCTGCTTGCCACTTGCACGCCTAACCCCCGCCTTCCGTTTCACCATCCGAGGCCTTCTGGAAAGCCCTCTGCAACCAAGAAACAGGCTACGGATTAAAACGCGTGGCGCCCCCTGACTTCCGTTTCGCCATCAGAGACCTTCCGGAAAACTCTCTGAAGTCAATAGCAGAGCTCCAGATCGATCCAGAGTTGTGTTATCAGCTACAGATGTCTTCTGGAAAGCCCTCTGTACTCGATAAAAGAGGTCCAGATTGATCTGGAGCTCTGTTATTGGGTTGCAGAGAGCTTTCCGGAAGGTTGTGACAGCAAAACGGAGTCCGGGGGTGATGTGTGCAAGCGGCTGCAGAAGAAGTGGCTGCAGAAAAAGACGAGGGAGGTGTTGAGGTGTGCGAGGCCTGGTAATAGGGCAGCTGTACCTCCCCATCCCCACCCTAGTTTAATTTTTACCTCACCCCACCCCCTGTACCCCGGGATGGGTAGGGTCTTGATTGAGTCTAATTTTCGGGGTCGGGTTTAATTTGAGTGCATGCGTTCAAAAACATGATAGAGCTTCTTTTCAGAGTAGGTCTTCTTTTAGGGGAAACACCGTATATGGACTCGAGGGCAATTTTTTATTTCTGTTTAAAATATTTTTTGAGAGCGCAATTAAGGGGGAAGCTTTTGTAGTGGTCTTCCTCTGTTTCTCATGGCTGCTCTTTTCTTGGTCGCGTGTTACAGGTGAGTTTATGCCAGCAGAAAAAGTACATGAAAACCTCTTTAAAGGTTCTGAGCGGAAGTTCAGAAAGTCATCATATCCCGCCGTAAAACGCTACAACCGGACTCGAACAGCACAGGAAGAAGAAAAGATGGCTGAGAGGCTGTTGAAAAAGGAAAACAAGTTGCGAAAAAGGCTCGCTGAGAAAGGAATAGATTATGATTTCCCTGGATTTGTAAGTGAATGTTCTTTTTTTTTTTTTCCTGAATAATACTTAGTATAATGAGAAGAACGAGGCATAAACACAATTGTGGCATACTGACTGTAAATTTAACTGCCTTAAAGTTAGAATACAAAGATTATATTGTCACCAGACAATTGGAGACGTGAGATCATTTGACACATGATTTAGACAAAAGCTTGTGGCTCCCTATGGACTCAAAAGATTGGCCGCAGGGTTACCAGTGCTGGGTTTTTAAACACAGGCGTGGATTTTTCCATCCCTGTCTACGTTTCTAGGATTTTAAAATGTAATGAAATCATAAAGTGTTTTGTATTCATTATGTTGTACATATTAGGTAGGTAAAAGTAATTTAGCTTAAAACTAATTTGTTGGGGGCATTCTGGATTTTTTTGTCTCGAATCTGGGTTTATTTGAGCATGAAATCTTGGAGGTTTTTTTTAGGAAACCCCATTGGCAACTCTGATTGGCAGCCGCTGACAACTTTCTTAAAAAGATACTTTGTCATGCAAACCGATATTAGTCTTTGTTTCACCCTGTTTTTAATGAAAACTCTTGTCCTGAGCTTCATAGCTTCAAGGCAAATTCAATATGCGAACTGTTTTAAAGATTATTAGTTAACATATTTATCGTTATAGTTGAATTATGAGGTAACCTTAATGCTAAGATTCTTTCTTAGAGTGCTCTGATGCCTCCAATAAAGAAAAAGATGATTTCAAAATCAGATTCTAATGAAGATGCATCAGTGGATGATGAAGTAAGTGGAAGTTTGGGGTTTTGAAATTGTCTGAATTATGATGGGCCTTTTTTATTTGAAGAAGGGAAAAATATTGGAATACAAATAGTCCTTGAATTACAACCATACTTGAGCCAAGAATTATGATTGCAAGTTGTGCTGGTCATTAAGCAGGCCATATTACCGTGCCCAGTTTTACAAACCGTTTTTTGCGGTAATTAAGTAAACCCATTGTATCCAGTGGCGTTTATTTATTTATTTATTTGCAAAAATCAGAATTAAACGCCAATTTCTAAAAGAACAAGTCCTAAATTGTGATCATGTGACTACAAGATTCTGCATAGGTGGCCATAAATGTGGGCCAGTTGCCAAACACCCAACATGGGATCACACGACTGCAGGGTGTGTGGGTATTAGAACTTCAAAATCAGGTCGTAAATAGCTCTGTTGTAACCTTGAACTTTGCAACTGGTCATAAATAGAGAACTACCTATATAGTAACAAATATTTGCACAATGGTGTTTCCTTGATCGGAAGGCCTTTATGCTGATCTTCATGCCTGCAAAGGGTTCATTTGAGAAATGATACAGACCACCAACGAAATTGTCATTTTTTTGCCTGTGATTTCAAAAGGGCTTCTGTGATATTAAAAGGTTAATAAAGTTACTTGTTTCCTAACTCCTATTTCAATCCCTAACACTGAGCGTATGTTATACTGTCATACCTTGACACTCGACTGCTTCAAACTCGTTGAATTCAGTATTTGATGCCTTTTTGAAGCCGAAATCTTGTCCCAGCATTCGTCTTTCTCTCAGTAGTTGATACACAAGGAAGAACTTGCTGGTGCCAACTGCCTTGTGACTTGCTAGCTGAAACAGCAGGTCACTTGGTTTCCTTGATACCTGTCAGTTTTCGTATATAGCTGGTCTTCCAGAACAAATTACTGATAAGGACCGAGGTATCACTGTATTATACTGTGTTTATCTAATTCCTAAACAGTCCTATTAATAGTTCTGTTCTCCTCTGTTGCCTTTAACCACCTTCAAGTTAGTTGGCTTCTGTTGCTGCCAGCTGCTGCACTGAATGTTTGGTTTTTCAGTTTCTCGGTCCAGAGGAGGGAGGGAGGTGCTTTAAAAGCTGCTGGCTGGATGCTGTCAGCATCTCTGCTGAGCCGTGAAGCTGATGGGCTCAGTTTCCCTTTTCAGCTTGTCAGCTGTTGATCTGCTGAAGTCCAAGCTTGTTCCTCTTTGCCTGCTAAGCTAGCAGCTGCATCACTCCCTCGGCTGCAAATGCTTCCTCCCTGCTCTACCATGGGACTCAAATTGTCGTCCTACACATCCACAGTCGAGTGCTATCAGTATTTTCCTGTAGTATTTGGAAACCGGGTGTCATCCCGTGCTCTTCAGATTGCCTTGAAGTCTCAGAGAAGGGAAGGTTTCTGAAAGACTTTCCTTCTAAGATGCCCTCTTAGGATGAAATCATTGACTGCTTTTTTTGTCCTTTTCCTGGGTATTCATTTTTTTTAATTGAAAATTTNCCCCAGCCACGCCCACCAAGCCACACCCACAGAATCAGTAGTAAAAAATTTGAATTTCCCCGCTGGCTGGTCCTGCTTCTGGGCCCCTCTTTTGCCTTGCATCTACTGCTTCCAAATAGCAACTGGGGTGGGCTGCTACAGGTTCGCCTGAGTTCTGGAGAACCCATAGTTAATGTTATTGCCGGTTCATAGAACCTCAAATCCCATCCCTGCCTGGCCCTGCCCACCCTGGCCCTTCTCACCCCACCCAGCCCCTCTCAGGAGTCTCCACGTGGCCCATTTTGGATGTGAGGTAAGTATAGGGCCAGCGCGGAAGCTTGGGAAGGGGCAAAAATGGGTCTCCCAGAAGTTCCAGAAACGGGTCCATATCCATCCTCCGGAGGGCCTCCAGAACCTGTGGAAAGCAGTTTTTGCCCTCCCAGAGACTCAAGGAAAGCCTCTGGATCTGGGGAAGGCAAAAACAGGGGCCCATCATAGTGCAGGAGTCTGACAAGGCCATGCCCACCATGGCCACGCCCATCCAGCAACCAGGCAGAGAACCCATTGCTGAAATTTTTGAAGCCCACCTCTGAGCATAAGTCTGGTAATCCTCCCCCAGCAACAAAAAGGCTCCAGTAAGCTGACATAGTGACCCACTAGGACCTTGGGGCTTCTCTGTGATGGTATGACTGGTGATCCTAAGAGAGAGAGTAAGAGGGGGGAGGGAAAGAGAGTGGGGGTGGAGGGAGGGAGGGAAAGAGTGAAAGAGATGGAGGGTGGGAAAGAGAGAGGAAGGGAGGGAAAGAGAGAGAAAGTGGGAAGGAAAGAGAGAGAAAGGGAGGGAAAGAGAGAGGAAGAGAGGGAAAGAGGGAGGGAGAGAAAGAGAGAAGGAGGGAGAGAGGGAAAGAGAGAGGATGGGAGGGAAAGAGAAGAAGGGAGGGAGGGAAAGAAAAAGAGGGAGAGGGAAAGAGAGAATAGGAGGGAAAGAGAGAGAGGGTGGGAGGGAAAGAGAGAGAGGGGGGGAGGGAGGGAAAAAGAAAAAGGGGGAGGGAAAGAGAGAAAGAGGGAGGGAGGGGGAAAGAGAAAAAGGGGGGGAAAGAGAGGGGGGGGGGGGGGGAAAGAGAGAGAGGGTGGGAGGG